CAGCATGTGAATTAGTAAAAAATTTGACAATTTTTCTACATTCTTTAATTAATTTTGATGACCATTCTAATTTCATAATATCATTAGTTAAGAGATTGATGTGGTGCGCAATGCATCGCATTGGTATTATATGAGGATATTGTTCAGAAATTAATTTTTTTGCTAAAACTATATTCGCAGCATGGTCAGAGACCACAGCAGAAAATTTATTCACACCCACTTCATTAAGAACTCGTGATATTTCAGTACATAAGAAGTTTCCAGTGTGTGAATCTTTTGAAAAATTCTTTAAAGAGTGTACATACTCTTTTCTATCTGATGTCATAATTACAAAAATATATAATGATTGTCCTGCTGGAGAAGTCCAACCATCCAAACCTGATTTATTTTAAATTTTAGTCAAATTTTTAAAATTATTGATAAAATAAATAAATAAATAAATAAATAAATAAATACCTAATGTAAGATTAACCTCATTAACAAGGCCATTGTTAATTTTTGAAATTACTTTTGCACATTCTAAATTAACAAATGTAGTAGACAATGTGGTTCTTTTAGGAAGATGAAAGCCAGGACATAAATTAGTAATAAAATCTACAAAGAATGGGTTTTCAACAACCCAAAACGGAATTCCACAACAAACAAAAAATTTTGTTAAAGCATATGAACATCTAAGTTGTTTTTCATTTGTAATTGTTTTTTTCTCAAGATGATCAAAAATTTTTGTTTGTTTTTGTTTTTTTTTTGAATTATTATTTACATCATCATCATCCTCACTAATCTCATCATTTTGCAATACATTTTGAAACTTTATACGTATATCAGGTGGTGGAGGTTTAGTGCATGATAATGCAATATGAGATATCATATCAGAACTTTTTCCACGAGCCCATTGTTGACCACAGTAATTACATTTTGCACCAGGTCGTTTATTATTGTTATTATTGTTAGAGCTACCAATTTCAGTAAAATGTTGCCAAATTGGTTTTCTTGGTCTACCAATTTTTCTTCTTAAATGATTATTAGTTTGTAACGAAGTCAATTCATCATTGTTATTCATCTAATTATAAAAACAATTAATATACACATAACAGGTACCACTGGATAAATAAGAATCAACAAAGATAATATTTACTTTGATTTTAAATAATTGAGTTGGTTTTGTTATATTGATTAACTAATGGGTGGACCTCGGGATATTAATTATTTATTTAAAATTTTATGTGTGAGAAAAAATAAAAACTACATTTTTACTGAACATGCCTGTATGCATGATGTTTAACTATCCAAATTTTTCTAAACTTAAAAAGTAAAATAAATAATAATTTGTTTGACTATAATGTTTAGACTATTTCTTATTTATTTACATAAATCGTTACATTTATCATGATTTAATTATATGTAATTTATTACACAGATATTTGATAGTGTTAGGTATTCAAATATATAAAAATTATTTGACATGCTAATTTTGTTAGTCAAAATACCCTAATTCCAAACCAAATCTTTTATTTCTTTTTACTTTATTTACTTTATTTTTATATCTACATTTATTTATTCCTTATATTTTATTTCATATTTACTTCATTTTTATTATTTTATTTGTATTACATTTGTCACCGATTAAACTTTGGGAGAGAGTATTTTTAATTGGTGATAACAATTATTTTAATTTTGTGTGGATCAGAATGAATAGGTTATCAACGAATTGATTTTGGATTAGCGAATAATTTTGGGTAAAGAAGATAATAGTTTATTAAATAAAATATTATTATTTTATTTAGTTTTCTTAGTTGAAACTAATTAACTTGTTAGAAAGTTACTACTGTATTGGCCATACAATCCCTTGCTCTGTAATGGTCAACTATCCAATTCCAAAAGATTAAAAATTCTGGTGGAAGATTCTGTTGTAATGGGTAACAATCAGCACAAGATAAATCCTGATGAATGTGTGCTATAGAGATTAAATGTGGGTGCCTTTGATGTATTCTTTC